AAAACAAACAAACAAAAAAAAGTACAAAAAACGAAAAAATAAATATATATATATATATATATATACATACATACACACATACACATACATGCATATACACATATATACATACACATACATACACACATACATACGTACATACACACACACATACATACACACCCATATACATATATATATAATACAGTTATAATAATAATAATAGTAATAAAATAAGTAAATAAATAAAAGAAAGAACTGGCTGCAAAAAGCGAGACAGAAAAGGAACCATGACGTATGGGCCATACAGAAGGATTCAGTGTGGGGTCGTATATGGGGTCCAGCTGTCGTCCACAGGGAGTTAGTTGGTCCTCCACAGCAACAGGTTGGCCCCATGCAAACTACATACCCGACTACATGGATGGCTGCATCCCCAGCACCACAAATTGTTACGCAAAATGTCAGAGCTCATCAGCAAGTTGTTCCAAGACTGCAAGCTTATCCACGTCCACTTCGTCTGAGGCTGAAACCAAGAGAGGGAAAGTCCTTAAGCTAACTTAGAGAATACTTGGTAGTTTTGAATGAAATTGGGGTTAAATGGGGAGGAGAGCTATACTAAGAGAGCCATCCGTTTTTGCTTGTTGGAAATTACCCTGTGTAGTGCTCAATATGTATTGAGCTCAGCTTTGTGGAAGTTGAGTAAACCCCTTTTTAGCAGTAAAATACATCATCAGACTGATAATGCAAAGTTGATTTTCTATCCATACATATTTTTTTTTTGTTTGGATGCCATGTTACATTTCTCCTTGCCAAAGGCTGTCTTTTGTGTGCATGATGATCCCTATAGTAATGTTTTCCCCTAAAAAAATAGAAATAGACTTCTACTCTTCATAACTAGATACCAAACAAGCTGACAAGCCCACAAACTGTAAAGGTGATACAATCTGGATTATTCCTGATTGCCAAACTTTGGCATTCACACTGGTTCACACTACGAGCAGCTGGAAAGCGTCAGGTGACTGCTAACATGGCTGTAAACATCTAAAAAAAAAAAAGTTCTATATATTCATACGTTCAATTATTCACTGTGTGTGGAACAGCTGTGGGGCATGTTTCTGACTTAAAAACTGAACACTGTTTGGTCTTCTCTATGAGGGGAAAGTCCAGAAACACACATAAAAATGGAGCCAGGGGGACCATCATCTACATTAGCTTTGGAGCCTGTAGATGTTTGTCAAACAGATGTGGGTTTCTGTCAGAGTACAGTCCAGAGTGTCTGTTACACTTCAGTGGTGCTCCAGTGTCAGAAGAGCCGCTACATTCTAGCATTTATTTGAAAATACACGGTTGACAGTTGTAGTACCACAAATGAACAAGCTCACCTCTACATGTCCCACATCTTCATTGTTGTTTGAAAGAATTTGTGATGTGTCACACATGCACAACATTTCCTTTCTTTCCCCCTACCATCCCTTTCCTGCCTGGACGAGCACCCTGACCCCTCCTTTCACTCCCCATCTGAATGAGTGATGACCTTCCCAGACACTGGATGGGAAGCAGGATAGAAGCCATCTAAACTGTGCTATGGCCCCATTAGTCAACAAGACAGTGTCAATATACCTAGACTCCCTCCTACTGTACTCAGCATCACACTGACTCTGGAGGGCCAATGCAGCACAGCATGACTGGCAGCTTCATTCAAAACTAAAATGTAATGACAAAGATTAATTTAGAATGTTTAAACGATTGAGTGTTCAACACTAACATAACTGTGTTTTAGCAGGCCACACCAAACAACAAGTAGAAACCAGGAGGGATTGGTATGTCTTGGTGAAATGTATCATATTTCTTTGTGTATCTTTATGTATAAACACATATACATGCATATATATATACATGTGTGTGTGTGACTGTGTATATATATATATATATATATATGTGCTGCTTCTAGTTTTATTGAAGCAGCATCATTGCTTGAAATCAGTAACTGGACTGTGACACCACTGGGTGGCAGTAGCATATTACACAGAAGTATTTGTTCCACTGTCATTTCAATGTCCCACTCGACAGATTAAACCTCAGAATGCAATAACATATTCACACACATAAGCCTGACTGGGCTAATTTCAGTCGCCGCATCAAGTCTATCAAATGTATTTGGACTGAGACTGTGAACGCTCATTTTTTAAGCAGTTTTTTTGTCATGGTAAACCCCAATCCCCTCTATTCTTCCCCCTCCTGCTTCATTGTACCCCCTCAGGCCTGTTTTGTTTTGCTCGTCGCTCTTCCTCCCTCCATTGCTTCCAAAGTTCAAGCCAAGAAGCGTCAAACTAATTTTTGAATCAATCGTTTGATCATTGCATAAAAAATCACTGCTACGCCCAATTAAGCTGAAGCAATCCCACACAAACATGCACGTTTGTGTGGCCTATCCCTTATGTCACCTCTGGGATATAACTGACAAATGACAGTGCAACTTGTCTGCCAACCCTGAGTATCTTGCTCTGCAGGGTGTGTATGTGCGTGTTGCTGTGGAGAAAAAAAATCGTTGAGGGACATGGGGAAATGGAGGGGCGCACTGGCAAGATTTTTGCTCTTTGATTGGTTATGGGGAACATCCTGCAGAGTTATGGATTTTTGACAGAAAAGATAGCTTGCTTCAACCATGTTTCTCACTAGACCATGAAAAACAGGTTATTTTTGTTCTGAGTACAAACTAACAAACCAAATCTTTGCTTGAAATATTGGTCCATATATGGATGTTTCCTGTTGGATTTCAGGAATTAAATGAGCACTTAGGGGGAAGGATAAGAGAATTAAATAGCTGCAAAAATGTTGGACCTTAAAGCAAAATGCTCTCCTTAAGGGGAAAATCTGCCGAATATATGTGTAGATACAACACCACAGCTATTATTATGAACTTTTAGCTTAGTTTAGATGCTCGCATAAATCTGTGTGCCTTGAGATATGTTTTATTCTCCCAAAAATGTAGGCCCCACACGAATTTCGTAGACGTGTACATGTAAAAGGTTTCACTTCCTCTTCTTTACAACCACCTTGTCCATATCTCCCAGATTCAATTTAATTTAAAAAAACACATGCATGAACTTCATCAGGACAATCTGCTCCATTTTGTCTGTCTTCCTTCTGTATATGTCTGGGCTTTTCCTGCTTACCCTCTACATTTTGCCATCAACACTCTGGTCCAGTGATTTTGTTACATGGTACTTTGCAGACCAAACAGTTGGATCCCCGTTCTTCCTACATTTTCTGAGTTCTGTCTTACTTCTTAATCTCTTCAAGATGTCCAACAGGTTCCTCACCACGAGTCAGTGCTGCCTCTCATTCCGGTCAACCATCACCAGGATCTAGGCAGGGCTTGCTTTGGATGAAGGGCCTTGCTCACCACGAGGATTAGGAAATCTCTACATCAAGAAAGCCCAACCTTGACAACTATCCACTCTCAGAGTTGCCGAAATTATCATGGACCTGTAGCTGATTGAAAAGTACATAAGCTAATGTTGGACGGTATGTGTGGCAATGGAGGCCTAATTAAAAGAAGGGGAGTGTTAATGGCCAAAGTTGGGGAGATCAGATATAAACAGATGCTTTAATTAGCCAGCTGAGTAGTGCCTGAAGCTGTGTGTACGTGTTTGTGTGTTTGATGGATTTAATTAGTAGAGTGTAAGATGAAACACAGAAAAATCAACAAAGTGACATCTCTATAAAGGTTAACGACCACCCACCCCTCTTCTCTGCATGTCTCTTTCCTTTACTTTCCCTTTCTCATCCTTCCTCCTTGAGCGTTCGCTATCGAGGGAAAGAGGAGTGAGAGCGAGAAGCAGAATGAGAATGAGGAGCAAAGACCAACACAAAGATGTAGTAACTCTATTTAATCAAAGCAGCAGCTCAAAGTGCCATCAACTTGATTAACTCAACACACTCACACAGTCTGTCTGTTGTTTGAAAGTACACAAATCGATTCCTGCCTACAGAAACTCGGGAGCACTTCCGCTTGAAGGCGGGGTCACCGTACAGATTACAGGTAGAGGCAAAGAGATAACTGCGAAGCTAAAATTGAGTGTCTAGTTTCTGATGTCTTGCCTGAGGCTTGAATCACAAAAAACACTTTTTATATTTTTCCTCTCTCTGCCCCAAATGCAGAGTTGTTTTAACAGTATTTAGGTGAGGGAGATGAAACAAGAAATGGATGGGACAGTCATGAGACAAGGCCCATAGCCCAAAGACTAGTCAAGACAGAAACTCTGAATGTTGTCATTGATGGCCGTTTATGGGAGTTGTGAAGCGTTTTGTGGTTTTATACTGATTTACATCATTGCCCCATTCTTCCTTCCAGTTGATGGCTGCATCCTTATGAGTGCAACAATAAAGATACATTCTTTTTCTGTCCAGTGGGTAAATGGAAAATATTTTGACATCCAGTCGTATGAAACTTCAGGTTTCTTCAAAGAAGCTTGTTTCTTACAGTCCCGGCAGAACCCACCTTGCGACACTCCAATCCCTGTGTACAGTACATGGTAACTATACATCTATTTTACTTGTTTGTATTTGAATGAAAACCTACAGCTTTAACACAGGTTAGCAATTCTGTTTTCACGTTTGTACGAAAACTGATGATTTTTTCCCCCCTCTGAAAGACAACCTATATTCAAAACAAGAGGGGCTCTTTTTTGACCGAAAGTGTGTTTTATATTTATTTTCTGGTCAAGCCATTTCTAATCCTTAGCGATAGCTGGAGCTGGTCAAATTGCCAGATGGATAGAAAAGGACTTGTACTGAGCTCCTGTAATGGTCATGCATTCGTAGCGCATATTTGACATGGACAACTATGTTTATGTATCGTTAACCCGATTCTTTAGTTGGAAACCTGAGAATAAACCAGAGTTGATCAAAAGTACAAAAATAACATTTATTGGACACAAGTAATCATCGCTGGGCTCCTCCTCAGTGTTTCAGTCGGCCAAGAGCCCTGACATCTGGGGTGTGATGGGCATTATCTCCTGGGCTCAGTCCACCTCCTCAAAGGAGGACTGGACATAACCAAGTCCTATTGGCTAGTTACCTCTGGGCACAAACAGGCCAGGTCCTAATACATTCAGATGTGGCGATGGAAAGGTGAACCAAAGAAACAAACCCTTATGATCAAAACAGCCAAATTAAAGAAAAACCAACAACGCCACCCTGGGAATTTCACCCAGGGGATCAATTTGTGAAGGACAGGCAGGTAAGGTTTGCTCAAAAAGCAAGAGACATGGTTTAAAAAAAAAAAACAACAACACAATTTTATCATTCTTTTCACAACTTAAAAACTCATTAAAAAGGAAAGCTGGAGCTGACTGGATGGACAAAGGCTGGTGCAGAGGGGGATAGGAAGTCCACCCAAAATTAAAGAAATCAACTTAAAACCACCCAACGTAGGTGACACTCAAGTGAAGACCTCTCCCTAGGACACAGCAAACAAAAAAAGGGGTGGATCCCACCACGCAGGCACCCCCAGTCTCCAGCAACTAAAGAAGGAAAGGGAATAACAAATTAGTGGGTAAATCAACTCATAACAGAAACACAGAATCGAACGTTAACCAAATCCAGGACTGCCCATTTTAGTCCTAAAACAACAATAATCCTCACATTTATAATAAAACGCTCATTCTTGGTCAAAGCCCGAACAATTGTTCTGGGGCACGATATGAGTCGTCAACACCAGGCAGCGGCGGCTGCAATACTCAGGGCCACACTGAGCGCCGTTGCGCATAAGCGCTCTGCAGGCGGACAAAACACTGAAGACAAAGTAGCACTGAAGACAAAGTGCTGAAGACAAAACAACAGCAACCACCGGTTAATTGCACACTCCTGTAAGGTGCACACACCCTCACAAGAGGAGAGAGAGCAAGAGGACTCCGGCTGCACATGAGTAGCCCAGAGCAACAGGCCTGCAGTCACCCTATAAATACAAATTCTGTGAGAAAGAACCAAGGATCAATGCGGCAAAACAGTGGGTGGCCATACCTGTCGACGAAACGACCAGGGGCCCGGGAGTGACGCACCCATGACACGGATGAAAAAGATGGCATCAAGAGAGGACGGTGGCTCTTATGCAGACCACCTAATTACTGCCACCTGGCACAAATGAGACAACGCCTCTCTGCTGCTATACAGATGACATTGGAATGTGGTAACAAATGGTGTGTGTATGTGTTGACCTAAAGGTGTGGATCTAATGCAACAAAGAAATAAAAAGAGAGAAAAGAAAAAGAGAGTGTAGACACAGTCAGAGACTTTAACACAAAAGTATAGTTCTAAAAGGAATAAGACAATCAGTAATTTACATAGATCATGTTATGGCATTGTAACCCGGATAATTTTTCTATATTAGATTTAGTTTATTTATTTTATTTTCTATTTTGGTAGATTTAATTTTATTTATTATTTAGTTAAAGGTTTAATTAAAATCCTCCTTTCAATTTATTTAACACCAACCAGGCGCGAACAATATTGTTCTCGCGGGGTATGACGTCATGTGACAGCTGCACGTCCGCGTCCTAAATTAACAGCAACAGTTTATATGGCTGCTAATCGCACCTTAGGAGGAAACGCTGTCGGACCCTGACGTGCAGGTAGGCTTCTGGGCTGTTCCCAAAGAGGTTTCAGAGCTCGGTTGGTCAAGAGGGAACTGGTGAGTGTTTGGTCGGGAGCTAGTATGCTAGCACTAGTCTTCCAGCCTGTCGTAATTATACAGCGATCTAAGTACATTCAAATTTAAATGCGCATCGAAACTGTTACGTAACAATACTGTTTGCATAAGTTGTATTTAATTATTTAACTTCTGCAATTATAAGAAAATGCATGTACATGTAAATTGATTAATTATGCCTGTTTACACAGGCCAGGTATATTGCAGATCCCTCGCTCTCGGAGTGGCTGAAGGGTCTTGATTAAAGCAAAGATTGTCTGGCTTCATGCTGACCAGACTGGCGAGCTAACCTAAGAGGATCCAGAAATACAACGCCATCATCTGTGAACACTCTTTCGAACTGGTTGGAGTTTCAGCTCAAGTCTTCACTGAAGGAACTGGATTATTATTATTATTTTGTTTTTCTCTTCCATCATCAACAGAGCCTGGTTGACGTCCTTGATATAAGGAAACCTCGTTGACTTTAAATTGTGGACTAATTTGTATATATTGTAAATTTATATTAATACAACTCACCAATTTTTGCACCATCTGGCTGTCTGTGTGTTTTACAATTTGCCACCTCCTCCAGTAGACGAACCTAATTAGACTTTAGGAATTATTTGGACAAATTTTAATTCGGATTATTTAAAATTCTATTAATCCTAGAATACAATGTGGGTTACATTACTTGGCGAGCTAGCTAGGAGGTTGTTGGCATTTTGTTAAACACAATTTTTTTTTCCTCCTGTCATTATCAATATGGATGAATTTCAAAACCTTGACGTAAAGATTCCCAACTGTGTTTTGGTTGAAGGTATTTCAGATGAAGATGATAAAGAGGAAGTATTTGACTTTTTGAAACAATATGGTAAGATAACAAAGACTGAAATCATTTCTGAAGTGGATTCTGAGTTTGAGGGCCAGTTTGTGGTTGAATTTAGCAGTGGTACAGCAGTAGCTGAATTGCGTTCCATTCTACCATATTCATTCAAATCAGCTGAGAAGTCAGATACATTTTTTATTTATGAATTAGCTGTTGTGTATGCAGAACATCTTGCACGGAATAAAACTCATTCTTATTTACTTGATTTACAGAAACTTGCAAAGCATTCTGGCATGGATCTTGCAGAGGTGTTAAAATCCACGATGACTCAGATTGGACAATCAGTTGATGAACTTCACTCAGCTGCTAAGATGGAGGATCCTGATGAGAAGTCTGAGGTTACGGCAGCAACAATGACGAAAGAGCCAACATCGTCAACTGCCACTGATCCTATAGTTCCCAGACTGAGAAGTGAGCAGCAACCTACTTCACGACAGAAACCTTCTCTTCATGATAGTGATATCCAACCACTTGAAGTCCAGCGCTATGTGGTGGAACACATTATGAAAGCTGAGGAAAGTGCTTACCATGTACAAAGGCTCCGAGTATTTTCTGGACGGCTGCCTAGACCAGCACATGAAGCAGACTATGAGACCTGGCATTCAGGAGTGGATCTGCTATTAAAAGACCCATCAGTCTCTGAGCTTCAGCGATCGAGGAGGATTGTGGAGAGTCTACTTCCCCCAGCCGCTGATATGCTGAAGCATTTAAGTTCAGATACTCCATCTACTGTGTATCTGAACATATTGGATTCGGCATATGGCACAGTGCAAGATGGAGAAGAACTCTTTGCAAAATTCATGGACACTTTCCAAGATGCAGGGGAGAAGCCATCTTCATACCTCCAGCGGCTGCAGGTAGCATTAAACTTAGCCCTGAAACGAGGTGGTGTGTTGGCCAAGGATGTAAACCGGCATCTCATAAGTCAGTTCTGTAGGGGTTGTTGGGACAATACTTTGATTGCTGAACTCCAGTTAAAACAAAAGAAACTGGTCCCACCTAATTTCTCTGAACTGCTACTACTTCTACGTACTGAAGAGGACAGGGAGGCAGCTAAAACTTCCCGGATGAAACAATATTTGGGGTCCACCAAACAAAAAGTGGTCAGTCATTCGCAATTGACTTGTGTTGACACAGGTGACGGTGGAGCAGTTGCCTCAGTTGACTCAGCAGTTAGCAGAACAACTGACAGATGTACAGCGGCAGCTGGCTAAGCTAACATCCACCACCACCCAGCCAAGGATTACATCACAACCTAAGGTAACACACAGTAAGCAGGGTGTAAAAGGGGGCAATATAGTGACATCCCAGCAGTCCCCACCAGTTCAGGTTAAACCTGGTTATTGTTTCAGGTGTGGTGAAAACGGTCATATTAAGCCACAATGTAATAATGAACCAAATCCTGCTCTTGTTGCCAGAAAAAGGAAACAGTTTGCTCAGCGACAGCAGAATGTCTTTCAGAAGAAGTTAAACTAGGCTTGGTTCCTGTTGCGGGACGAACTGGAACCAGTCTCAGTCAAACCAGTCCTTTTATTAACGACAAGGCTGTTGAATGTACAGAACTGCAAGCTCATAAACTACCCAGTCAGCTACCCAAAGGTTTGATTGGATCAAAGTGTGCTGCTGTTGTTGACATTTATGGACATGTATGTAACTGCCTTTTAGACACTGGTTCACAGGTGACAACTATCCCAGTTTCTTTCTATAATGATAAGCTAAGCCACCAACCTGTAATGCCTCTGGATAATTTGTTACAGGTTGAAGGTGCTGCTGGACAGTCTGTTCCGTATCTGGGGTACGTGGAGCTGGTCATCACCTTCCCTGAAGATTTCATAGGAGTAAACACAGAGGTACCAACTCTCGCTCTTGTGGTCCCAGATACTAGTCCTGATAGGCCATCTAATGTACTTATTGGCATGAATACACTGGAGCCACTGTATGAACAACATCTTGGCGGTAACCATGTACAATTTCAACCCATGGGCCAAGGATATCGAGCGGTCCTGAAACTGCTACAGTTAAAGCACCAGCAAAATCAATCAGGAAATGCAGGAACTGTCAGGCTATTAAGCACCACTCCAGTCCTTATTTCACCTGGCCAAACCATTGTCTTGGAGGGTTCTGTTAAAAACACCCTTCCATCTGCAGATAAGTGGGTCATTGTCGAACACCCTAGCTCACCTTTACCAGGGGGTTTATGTGTTCAGAGTTGTCTAATTACATTGCCACGGCATCCACCATATAAAGTCCCAGTGATCATGAAGAATGAATCAGAGCAAGAGGTGTCTATATCACCATTTACCATTATTGCAGACATTGGGTCAGCACCTACTGTCTTGTCACAACAAATTACATCTCAAACCTCACAAAGAACCACTTTGGAGTTTGACTTTGGAGACTCTCCTATTCCACCTGAGTGGAAAGAACATATTATTAACAAAATGAACAGCATGCCTGAAGTATTCTCTCAACATGATATGGATTTTGGCTGTACAGATGCAGTTAAACATACCATTAAACTTAATGATGAAACTCCTTTTAAACACAGAGCAAGGCCAATCCATCCTCAAGATCTGGAGGCAGTCCGTGAACATCTCAGAGACCTGTTCGGAGCTGGAATCATACGAGAGTCTAAATCACCATTTTCCTCTCCAATAGTTGTTGTTCGGAAACGTAATGGTTCAGTCCGGCTATGCATAGATTACAGGAAACTGAATCTTCAAACTATCAAAGATGCATATGCCCTTCCTAATTTGGAAGAATCTTTTTGTGCTTTGACAGGGTCCAAATGGTTCACTGTGTTGGATTTAAAATCTGGCTATTATCAAATAGAGATGGCAGAAGAAGATAAGGCTAAAACAGCTTTTGTAACTCCCCTTGGGTTTTGGGAGTGGAACAGGATGCCGCAAGGAATTACAAATGCGCCTAGCACGTTTCAGCGGCTAATGGAGAGATGCATGGGAGATCTGCATCTTAAAGAAGTCCTTGTCTTCCTCGATGACATCATCATCTTCTCTGCCACTCTGGAAGAACATGAGGAACGGCTGCTGCGTGTGCTCTCTCGGTTGAAACAGTTTGGACTAAAGCTCTCTCCAGAGAAATGTAAGTTTTTTCAGTCATCTGTACGTTATTTGGGACACATTATCTCTGAAAAAGGAGTTGAAACTGATCCAGAAAAGATTGATTCTTTAAAATCCTGGCCAGTCCCCCGCAACCTTAAAGAGTTGCGATCTTTTCTGGGTTTTGCTGGATATTACCGAAGATTTATTAAAGACTATGCTGTTATTGTCAAACCACTTAATGAATTAACCCGTGGTTATCCTCCAGCCCGCAGTCCTACAAAGCTGAAGAATCCAGAAGGAAAGTACTCGGATCCCAAGCAATCCTTTGGAGATAAATGGACTAGCCATCAGCAGATTGCCTTTGAAACAGTCATTTCCAAATTGACTACAGCACCTGTTCTTGGGTTTGCCAATTCACAACTGCCATACATCTTACATACTGATGCCAGTACAATTGGGTTGGGAGCAGTATTGTACCAGGAGCAGGAGGGCAAGCTGCGCGTTATTGCTTATGCTAGCCGAGGCCTGTCGGTCAGTGAGTCAAAATATCCTGCTCATAAACTGGAGTTTTTGGCTCTGAAGTGGAGTGTTACTGAGAAGTTTCATGATTACCTCTATGGTACTAACTTTACAGTTGTCACAGATAGTAACCCTCTCACCTATGTTCTTTCTTCTGCCAAGCTGGATGCTACAGGTCACCGGTGGTTAGCAGCACTGTCTACCTACTCATTCAAACTGCAGTACCGTGCTGGAAAACAGAATTTGGATGCTGATGCTCTGTCCCGACGCTCGCATGAAGATAATTCTAGTGACCAGCACTGCAGAGAGAGGGAGCTCATTCAACATCTGACCAGTCAGTTGGGTAATGGAAAAACAACCCATGACATCTCCCCTGAAATTGTGGATGCCATCTGTCAGAGTTGTATAATCCGAACACAGAACCAAACTGAACCAAGTCGATCTGTTGCACTGGTTGAGTCTCTATCTGTCTCTGTTAACTCCATCCCGGATGAGTTCAGCAATGAAGAGTTGCATGGTTTGCCTCTAATCCCCTCTCTATCTCAGGTCGATCTCCAGGAAGAGCAACAAGCTGACCCTGCTATTCGTGAGGTCATTCATCAACTGGAGACTGGTGAGAAGGTCCTTCCATCAGTTCGAGAGGAGCTACGTGATCTTCCTTTGCTCCTGAGAGAGTGGAACAGGTTAGAGTTGGTGGATGGAATCGTATATCGGAGAAGATATGATGGAGATAAACGTATCTACCAGCTAATCCTACCACCCAAGTTACGACCAGCTGTTTTAAAGAGCTTGCACCATGATATGGGGCATATGGGCATCGAAAGAACAATCGATCTGGTGCGCCAACGCTTCTTTTGGCCCAAAATGACGTTGGAGGTGGAGACCTTTGTAAAAACCTGTGGTCGTTGCGTAAGGCGTAAAGCTCAAATAGAAAGAGCAGCTCCATTAATAAATATTCAAACAAGCCGACCACTTGAACTGCTATGTATGGACTTTTTAACCATTGAACCTGACAGCAGTAATACTAGAGACATTCTTGTTCTTACTGATCACTTCACTAAATTTGCAGTTGCCATTCCTACCCCCAATCAGAAGGCAAAGACGGTTGCAAAGTACCTCTGGAATGAATTTATGGTTTATTATGGAATTCCAGAGCGTATACATTCAGACCAGGGTACCGATTTCGAGTCCAAGCTCATTAAAGAGCTCTGTGAAGTTGTAGGCATGAAGAAAAGCCGAACTACCCCGTACCACCCACGAGGGAATCCAGTCGAGCGCTTCAACCGCACTCTGCTCAATATGCTTGGAACCCTGGAAATGAAACAAAAGTCGAAATGGCGAGAGTATGTCAAACCTTTAGTACATGCATATAACTGTACAAGAAATGAGGTAACAGGGTTATGAACTCATGTTTGGTCGTTGTCCTCGTCTTCCTGTGGATTTGGCTTTTGGTTTACCCATCAGAGAACAATCATCCATCTCTTATTCAGAGTATGTTAAGAATCTGCAATCCAGCCTGAAAGAAAGCTACAAACTAGCTTCTGAGAATGCCCTTAAGTCAGCTGAAAAGAACAAGATCCGTTTTGATCAGAAAATTACACCATGCAGTTTGGAGATGGGAGATCGAGTACTGGTTCGCAACATCCGTCTGAGGGGTAAGCACAAGCTGGCAGATAGATGGGAACAAGGGGTGTACAAAGTTGTTGACAGAGCTGAAAATGTACCAGTTTACACTGTTCAACCTGAACACAAAGAGGGACCAACTCGTACTTTACATAGAGACCTGTTGCTTCCTTGTGGCTTCCTGCCAGTTTGCTCCACAGAAGACCCTTCCATCACCATGCCTGCCTCACAACGAAAGACTCGCAGCCAGGATGTTTGCCATCCAGATGTTCCTGATGTTATGGAGGAGGATGAGGATGCTGAACCCTATGTGCCAGAAGTTTCCATCCCACTCCCAACAAGATCCAGTGTGAAGGTGAGAAAATTTAAGTCGTCACCGGAATCCATGACTTTGCAGCCCATTTCACCTTTGGCTCAAAGTGATGCTGAGGCACCAGAGCATCCTGTACCTCTAATTCAGAGCACAGACCCTGAGACTGCTAGTCCATCTGAAAATGAAGAATCCTGTTTAATAACTGATTCATCACTGTCTCACCATGAAGACAAGCTACCTGTGGAACAGATTGAAACAGAAGAACTTTCTGAACCACGTGTAGCTGAGGCTGTGGAAGTACACCTGGAGGGAGAAATACCTGACGAACACTTACCTGAAGTTCAAGAACCTGACGCTGAAGATCATCTGATCGTTCAATCTGAGTCATCTATAGGTCCTGCAAGTGTCAGCTCACCCTATAACTCAGAGTCTGAAATATTGCCTAGGCGATCAGATCGACAGCGTCAACCTCCTAGTCGTCTAACATATCCTGTGTTGGGTAAGCCACTCATTTCAGTAGTTCAGGCTCTATTGCATGGTTTGGCGAATGTGTACACTGAGGCTCTCAGTCAAGTTTCTAATGTGAATATACAGAAAAAATAATTTAGGTAACCCTGCAACGGGACGTGCAGGAAATAAAGAGGGGAGGATGTAACCCGGATAATTTTTCTATATTAGATTTAGTTTATTTATTTTATTTTCTATTTTGGTAGATTTAATTTTATTTATTATTTAGTTAAAGGTTTAATTAAAATCCTCCTTTCAATTTATTTAACACCAACCAGGCGCGAACAATATTGTTCTCGCGGGGTATGACGTCATGTGACAGCTGCACGTCCGCGTCCTAAATTAACAGCAACAGTTTATATGGCTGCTAATCGCACCTTAGGAGGAAACGCTGTCGGACCCTGACGTGCAGGTAGGCTTCTGGGCTGTTCCCAAAGAGGTTTCAGAGCTCG